GGCCCTCCCCTGACCCCCCGGGCCCCCGGCCCCTGGCCCTCACTCTCGGGTGCAGGTGGTTTTCTGTTGGTCTGATGGCCGTCCTACCTGCCTCCTGCGGCTCCTGAGTCAGATCCCGGGACGGCGAGCGGGAACCGTGGGCCCTCACTCCAGGGGACCCTCGTCCCCTGTGGCCGGGAGCCCTGCCTCGGCCTCCGTGGTCCCCGAGGGACAGGATGTGGAGGAGGCTGGTCTGAGGGTGACCTCTCCCAGGGAGGGAGGCGTCTCCACAACGAGTGCTCACTCACTTGTGGTTGAGATTTCCGTCGGCTCGCTGTGTGCTGTGGGACCGCCATGGGCTCCTCCCATCAGCGACCCCATCGTTGGAACGTGAGTCACTCTCTAGGTCCTGCCTTCAGATACACCTCGCACGCCACCCCCCACCTGGGGCCCCCTCAGCCAAGCGGCCCCCCTCGCTGTGGCCCCCCGTGTCACCCACTGTGTGACGCCTCCTGTCGCATGTCCGCCTGCTCCCTCATCTGTCTCCCCTCAGGAGGACGAGGGTGTCTGTGTCCTTTATTATTAACGGTTCTTTACATAGAATAATGTCACGTGTGTAAGTGCCCGATTTTGTTGTTGCTGATCCTCACCAGAGGATATATTGGTTCCCACTGGTTTTTAGAGAGAGTGGGAGGGTGAGAGAGAGAAGCATTGATATGAGAGAGAGAGAGAGAGAGAGAGAGAGAGAGAGAGAGAGGTCGATTGGTTGCCTCCATACGTGCCCACTAGGGCCGGAGATCAAACCTGCAATCAGGTACCTGCCCTTGGCCAGGAATTGAACCCGTGACCCTGCGGTCCACCGGCTGCTTCCTCATCTAGACGTTTCCTTCACTCCTCTCCTTTCGTTGGTTGTTCAAGTTTCACCTTTTTCAAAATGTCCTGAAAACAATCACACACCACGTGGCCTCCTGTTTTCCACTTCTGTCTGTTTTGAGATCCGTCTCCCGACACCCACCCCGTGTGGGTCTCCTGGAGCCTCTCCCCTTTGCTCACGGCGCCTCCGCTCTGATCCTCTAACGCTGCACGGCTGCTTCTGCGCCCATGGCCCTCCCTCCCCGCCCGTACCCCTCCCCCCCGTGGCCCTCCCTGCCGTGGCCCTCCCCCTCCCCCCTCTCCTCACCCATCGCCTCCCCCAACTCGCCACCCTCTCCTGGGCCCTCCGCACCGGCAGCTGCCTGCTCAGCTCCATGAACCTGGGGTCTCTCTCCAGGTCTCAGCTCAGACACCCTCCCCACAATGTGAGGATCCCACACAAAGGTTTTGTTTTGTTTATAAATGTGGCACTTTAAAATATATATATATATCTTTATTGATTTCAGAGAGGAAAGGAGAAGGAGAGAGAAACATCAGTGATGAGAGAGAATTACTGATTGGCTGCCTCCTGCACGCCTGTGTTGTCGCCATGCCCCCACCCGCTCAGCACCTGTGTATGCAAATTAATCCATCATCTTTGTTGGGTTAATTTGCATATTCACTCCTGATTTGCTGGTAGGTGTCACAAAGGTACAGTCAATTTACATATTTCTCTTTTATTAGTGTATATATATATATATATCATTTCAGAGAGGAAGGGCAAGAGAAAGAGAGAGGTTGTGGGCTCCATCCCCAGCAGGGGGTGTGCAGGAGGCAGCTGATCCATGATTCTCTCTCATCATGGATGTTTCTATCCTCTCTCCTCTCCCTTCCTCTCTGACATCAGTAAAAATATATTTATTTTAAAAAGATGACAGCTTCCTTCACAGCGGCATCTGTTCGTTTTCTGGGGGGAGGGCATGGGGCAGCCCCCTTCCTGTTCTCTATGAAACTTGAGTTCACCCTCGCAGCTCCGCGGGGTCCTGGATTGAGTGAATTGTACGGTGGTGAACGGGCGTGTGGATCTGTCCTTGGAGACCATCCACGTAGACGCCCCATCGCTCGGCGATGCCTCCGTGGGCAGGTACTTCCTCCCTGGTCCTCCTCGGCCCGAGGACTTCACTCAAATCTCAAACATTAAGGACTTTTCCGTTGTCCTACCATTATTCGCAGACATTGCCTGGTCCCCTGCTTGGGGTCATAGATTTGGGGGCTGTGAGGATCCTGGAGTTGATCCACGCCTTTATTGACGGAAGTTGCCTGATTCCCGAGAGGTGAGTTATTTGCTCAAGGTCACAGGGCCCAGAACCCAGGTCTCCTGACACCATCAGAGCCGTTGCCCTCCAGCCGTCCGCCCAGGAGCAAGGTCGGGAATCGAACCGTGACCTCCTGCTGCATCGGGGTCGACACAACCACGGCACCACGCCGGCCGGCAGGAAGCGTGGGGGTGAGTGGACCCGTCTCAAGCACTTCTCGGGGGCAGCAGACCCGGAATAGAGGGCACACCGTGCTCTCTGAGCTGTGGTCTTTCTCTCTGAACGTCAAATGCCGGCGTTCCCATTTCTGTCCTGATTTGCTCTGTGAGTGGCTTTATTGGATGATTTGCCGTCGTCTTTACTGACAGAGCTTTAGAAGTTTAGTGTCATTTTGGGGACACAGTTCAGTATTTGATGTTATATGACTGGCTCTCTCCAGCGACTGCAGCCACTCAGACATGTCTTCCCTTGTTTTATGACACGAGGACTATTCATGCGCAGGCTGTCAATATGCAAGCAGGACCCGTTGAACTTTGCTCCTGGGGGAAGCCGTGCAGGGTCAGGCAGACAACTAAGGTCTTTTCTGCTCTAGCCCAGCCAGCGTGGCTCAGTGGTTGAGGGTCAGCCCATGAACCAGGAGGTCACAGTTCGATTCTCAATCAGGACACATGACCAGGTTGCAGGCTCGATTCCTCATGCAGGGTGTGCAGGAGGCAGCCGATCCATGATTCTCATCAGTCATGTTTCTCTCTCTCTCCTCCCTCCCCCTCTCTCTAAATCAATAAAATGTCCAGAAGATGCAGTAATGTTCCTCTCTCTCACTCCTTTTCCCTCCCACTCTCCCTCCCCCTCTCTCTAAATCAATAAAATGTCCAGAAGATGCTTGCTTGGATCTCTCAGAGACTGAAGGCACTACCAGCCGATGTCTGCTCTCCTCTCCCCTGAATCTGGGAGCAGTGAGTGAACATTTCTCTGCTGACGCGTTCAGAATAGTAATTGCTTTCACACCAGGCAGTTTTATGAAATCAAATAATAAACAAGCTCTTAAATTCTCTGTTTCCCTTAAATTTCATGAGCTTAAAAAATTTCTATTGAGAATTTTATTTCTTATGCTGCAACTTTAATGACTCCATTACAGCTTCCCTGTTCCCCTGACACCCCGCTGCTATGTTTGGGTGCGGGATATCGTTTTCTCTGGCCACAGCTGAGCGTCTTAAAATGTTTACTTTCTTCTAAAATGTGAAACAGGAGTTTCTCCTGGGAGAGTGATGGGCGTAGGTTGACATTCAGGGGTCTGCAGACTTTTTCTGTGAAGGACTAGGTAGCAAATCCTCAAGACTTTGCAGGCCATGCATCCCCGCTGCTCCAGCGCCACCCACAGACAGGACCGCCAGGTGCGGAGGGCTGTGGCAGCACATTTTTGTGTGGACGTTGAGGCTGGGGTTTCATTTACTTTTTCATAATATATTACTACTGTCTGCTCTTCCCCAACCATTCCAAGATGCACGATCATCCTGTCAGCAGGATGACATGGGAAGCAGGCGTTGGGCAAACAGTTTGCTGACTCACACGCCTGATTCGAGTCGTTGAGTGGATGAGGGAAAGCGTCTCTGATGAAAAGCAGAACAGGAATGAGAACATCACCATTTTGAGGTCCCCAGCGAAGTGGCAGATCCAGGCTTATGGCTTAGGAGCTGCTCACGTCACAGGAGAGGCAACAGACATGCCTCCCAAGGAAAGAACACGGAACACGGAACACGGATGCTTGTCGTCCTGCCAGGGCCCTCAACCTGGAGTCCGGCCGAGCCTGAGGCTCCGCTGCCATTGCAGGAAACGCAGGGAGGAGGACAGACTGACCAGAAGGACAGACTGAATGGCACGATGAGTGTCTGATCGACGAAGCCCAGACCACGGGCAGCCCCACAGGCAGCCCCACAGGCCGCGTGACACAGGTGTTTCCAACATAAATGAACAGAAAGTAAAAGTGGTGGAGAACACGCTGGAGATGACAAGATTTAAAAGATGCATCCAGTAACTTTTAAATGGCAGGATGAAGCCAGTGTCTAGGGCAGGGGTCCTCAAACTACAGCCCGCAGGCCACATGCAAATACAAATATTGTATTTGTTCCCGTTTTGTTTTTTTACTTCAAAATAAGATATGTGCAGTGTGCATAGGAATTTGTTCATAGTTTTTTTTTTAAACTATAGTCCGGCCCTCCAACG